GGAATGTACTAAATAAATAAATAAATAAATAGCATAGCATAGCATAGCATAGCATAGCATAGCATAGCATAGCATAGCATAGCATAGCATAGCATAGCATAGCATGCTGGATTGATAAATTGCTTTAAAAATATGTGAAATTATAATTTTATTACTTAAAATAATGGAAGTGGTATCTCCATATAAGTAGATCTGTTAGGATGAGAGACATTTCTTAATAATTAGTATAACTAATTATAATGTAAGTATATAAGTTGATAAATATAACAAAGCAGCATATCTGTTACCTAGAGGAAATATTTTGTGATTATATGGTTACCTAATTCTTGATAACCTAACTCTGATAAAGTAAGATTTGGACTGCCTATGCATACAGTGTATCAAAACTCCAAAACTCCTCAGATGGGGGAGAGGGAAATTGGTCAATTTAATTCCCCAAGATCTAAAGACGGTCGGTATCACTTCATATAGCCCTGGCAGTGCAGATCATTACCAGTCACAAATCTGTTCATTACATACTGAGAGTATATAGCAAAATAAATAGACTGTCTCACAAGTTCTGAAAATTGTGTGTTCGACCCATGATAATGTGTAAAGGGCGTTTAATAGAGTTCAGCATTTATTCGTTATCTGTATGTGGGCAGAGACAGCACTACCGTTATCAGCTTTTGGGGAGGGAAATTCCGTGGTTCTCCATGTCACGTGACCTGCCTCACAGACCCATGCACTCTCCGCGATGCAGTTTTGATTCTCCTCAGAGCAGAAGGCTTAGTCACAAGAGATTCCACTGGTTCAAACCAGCGTAAACCAGATTTTTTTTTTTTTTGTCTACAAAGGAACAGATTACTGCTTGCATCAAGTAGAGGAGGGGATGAAAAAGAGAAGAATCTTTGTTTCAAAAATATGCTGATTATTATAACTTAAAACTGTGGCGGCACACAATTTTATGCTTTTTGATAAGGTTGCTTTTTGGCATGGTTAGGATACTGCTTTTAAAAATAGAAGTAGTAGCATTTCATCAAGTGTCATAATTGTTAAATGAGGGAAAAATCTTTTGTTAATTTGAATGAATATCTTTCAGACATCATTTAAAAAAGAAAACCACCCATTATTTAGCTTAGCTGTAAATCCTACACAGCTTAAATCCAGTCATGCAGCACAAACAAGATAGAACTCTCTCGCTCTCGCTCTCTCTTTTTTGACACCTATTGAAAAAACAAATGTGGAGCATTTTAAAACTTTCATTCACCATAGTAGAGTGTCATGCCCCAAATGGTTTCTATTGCAGAATAGTAGTTTTAAACTTTGGCCCTTAAAGTATCATAGCCATTACATGAATGGTGACCTGCAAAAGGGAGCGGGGGTGGGCATAGTGATGCAATAAAATCCCAAACCACCTTTTTTAGAATCTGTATGTTTATCTTTTGGGAGAAGAAAAGTGAGGAGGAAGCAAGAGAACATACTAAAGAGTGATTGCAAAGTGCTTTTAATTTAAGAAAAGGTGGGGCTAGATTAGAAAACATGCTTTTCCCTTGATTTTTTATCTTTGGAAAACTAGAACTATTGATTGCAGCAGTTTTCTTCCTAAAATTAAAATAATGTCTTGTTTTTATTTGTTTGCCATTGTAAATGTTTTAATTTTAGATCAACAGTGTGAGCGTAAGGAATCATTTAAATTAGGTGTGTGTGTGTGTGTGTGTGTGAAAACATCCTTCCTAATCTTTATACCCTAATTCAAAATTAGTTTCTGTTTATATGAATAAATTGATAATGGTCAGTTGAAGAAGAAACCTTCTCAATTGTAAAATAACATATTCTCAGTAAAGAAGCTTTTCCTCCCCCACAATAACTATAATTTTATATGTGTGTTGCAAATAGACTGAGTGTATTTTCTACCTCATCACAACAGGCTACTATTTTGAATAAAGGTTATTTTGCAGTATATCAAAATTGATTGACAGGACTCTTCTTTTGTTGGGTTAATTAGACTGCATCATTTCAAGGAGCAGAATAGTAAAATGTAATAACTTTTTGAAGTAAATTCTCTTGAAAAACATAAAAAATAGCATAGTCAAAATTGTATCTATGCCTAATAATATAATGCCACTATTTGCTTGCTCTTCATTATTTATATTATTTGGGTACACAATAATAATCTACAATACTAAATTGTTTAGAATTATTAAATTTAGATTAAAAATAATCAAATTTAAAAAATAGCATATAAGCTGGTGTTTCTATAGCCATCAGTTATTCTGGCTGATTTAGTAAGATAGATGTATTGGGAGACATAAAAAGGCAGATGTCAGTACTAACAAAATAAAAAAAAATGTAGAAATCTTGTATATACAAAATCACTTCAGCTGTACTATCTTAGAAGAGAGGAATAGTAAACTTGTTTTCTCCTTTTTATATTATAGACTTCTATGAAGTCATTCCCCTTTATTTCATGATAGTGTCTTAGATGTGGTTTAAAAGAGAATTTCACACTATTCTCTTTGTTTAATGTGACAGTGTGCGAAAGTGATCTTTATTCGTTCAAAAAACTCTGCATGTAGTCTATGTTTAGGGTCTTTTAATGTGTTTGTCTGTGATTTTTAAATGCTAAACATGTAAACAGATAAATTGTCAATGTTAATTCTGTATCCTGTCACACAACTGATCTTTCTTTCCTGCCATTTCTTTCCTTTTTATCTTTTTCTGTGCATTCATGTTGCAGTTGATAAAATTACGTGAAGAGGTGAGTATTTTGTTGCTTTTTGTTGCCTAGCTTCTTCTTTAAAACTAGCTTTTCATATCTGAATACATCTTTTTGGTCACTTGCAGAGAAATCTGTAAGAGCATGCAATACGTATCTATATATATCTATATTTATCTATATCTCTTTAAAAATGTTCTAGCACTATTTGTGTCTTTTCCTTAATAATCATACATTTCATCAGAATCCCTAAGTCATACCTTTAAAATTAAAATTCTTTAATAGCACTAAGAAAAGGGATAATTTAAAGAGTCTGTAGAAGAAGAAAAGGAAAACTAGTATTTGATATGTGTTTGAACACCATGTTGAAATTAGATCCTGTAATGATATCTGCACTATTGAAGGTACTGTAACAGTAGGGGAAAAACAACCCCTCTGCTTGAAAGATACAAGCAATACCTCATTGTGTAGATCTGCCAGCATACAAAACAATATGAAAATATTGCATGCACGTATACTGAATTGTAGATGTATGCTCAGTTGTGCCTCCTATATTTATTATTTATTTGTGCATATGCTGTAGTGAATGTAAATTAGGGTCCTTTTTCATTCCAGGAAATGACCAGAAGAGATAACAGTACTTCAAAAGTAGTATCAAATCATCAAATGATTGTTTCTTGACATTCTCTAAAGTATTTTTTTCTTTTTTTAGATTTGTCCTTGGTTTTATTTTTTGCTTACACAATTTGTGTGTGTGTGTGTGTGTGTGTGTGTGTGAGTCTTTAAATCAAATTCTTACTCCTAGAGTTTGGTATAGTAGAAGTTGCTAGGGAACCAGTTTTTTGAGATAGTGGCATAACAACACCTCTCAGTTCTTGGCAGAGACAGAACAACAAACTGTGCTTGTTTAGTCTTGTGGTATTTGGTGGATGACCTTTGTTATAAACTGTGCGTGTATTTCAAAACGGTGATCCAGAGAGGTGATGATACTCTTTCATTGAGAAAAACCCAGAGAATAACCAAATAAAGTACAGTATAGAAAAATTATTACTTTATAGATTTCCTTAATAAATCAAGATTGTGATCAATCAGGTATTTTGAATTTCCTTCATCTATGTGAATTTAACATAGATAGTATTTTTCATTATATCAATTTTCATTGATATAATGAAAAATACTGTCATAAAAAGGCAATTGAGTAAACAGTTTTTTCAGCTGTATCCTTACTAATTAGCATTATCAATATATGTGCTGATTTATACAGAATAATGTAAGCAAAGTACAGACTTGTACCAAAGAACTTAGGATTCAGTTTTTAATGGTAATAAGAAGCACAAAGAAAAGTGAAATATAAAATAGAGAGGGGAAGAGATGCCAATGGGGAAGAAAATAGTTCCCCATTATACATTTAAGCTTTATTTCAAATTAAGACAGGTCTGAGTGAGTAATATAGTTTTCCAACCCATATAATATAGTAAACCAAAGAGTTATTTTTCTGGAAACCATGATAAGCAAGATCTTGAATGTCATGTTTTATTCAGCCATTTCATGCATTCTACATTATAATATAATGCATTGAGTTCTAAAATAGTATGGTAAACACATTCTTAACTCCTCAGATAAATATATTTAATATTGGATGTTTGTAAAAAAGTACAATAGAAGAATTTGAGGACACAAATATATTAAACTTGGTAAACCTTAATTGCTGACTTGTTTACAGAATACATTGGAATAAGCAGTTGGAGATTATTTATAAAGTAAATTAAATATTGATGATATTACTCATGGTGGTAACATATATTAAGAGACTCATGAAAACAGACTAGTTTTTCAGGAATTTCAGTAAAGTGCCACCTTAATTATTTAATTTTGTGAAGTTCTACTAAGTATGTTGCATTGGATTGAATTTTCTTCCTGTTTGTTTATTATGCATATATAATCATTTACATTTTTTTAAATAGAGAAACATTTTAGGAAACAGACGTCTGTGGCTGAAAAATGGGATTTAACGTCAAAATTAAAGAGCAGAAGTTTCATACTGCAATTTTTAGTTACCATATTTGGCTGAAGGATAAGCTGTAAAGGATTTTTTTTTTTTTTGCACACAGAGTAAAATGCACATTAAAGTCCAAATGATGGCAAGTGCAGTGATTCACATAATGTTCTAAATTAGTTAAATAATTAGACATCTAGGCATTCTAAATTACAGCTCTCCTAAGGAGGTATTATCTTAAAAGCAATTGTGTATTTTTCTATATTGTTTATTAATAAAATGTCCTACTTCCTTGCAACCCAGATGCCAGATACAGAATTCTGTGGAGGCTATATTACTTGATTTTCTTTTACCTTCTGAAATCACGGTTTGAATACAATCCACATGGAGTTACTAAATCTCTAGATGTAGCCCTGCCACTTTGCAAAACTTCATCTAGCTCCATAGCGAAGCTCTGTAGAAGCTGAAAAACAGCCGGAACCACCTCACACTATTTCTTATACAAAAGGCTAGGAATAGTGTGGGAGAATGGATTTGGTGATGTTAGAAAAGGAGTTGAAAATACCCACCGCTGATGAAGCTCATAGCTTTATGACTGTACATAACATCATTTCTCCAAAATGAAAGAATAAACATACAATAGTTTAAGGTTGAACATAATAATAGTAATAATAATAATAATAAGAATCCTGTTATAAAATGGAATAAGTGAAAAAGAAATACAGAGTAACAAAATATAATGAGATTCTTCTGTGCTGTTGTTTGGAGAAACAAGGTATATGATTGCTAACAGCTAACCTTCATTTTGAATATTTTGTAAAGGTTTCTAAATTTGATTTTGTCAGTTGCACTACATATATCTTAGTAATGACATTTATCATTTAATGTTTATGTTTGCATAATCCACATTAAAATATTTTAGAAATAACACTCAGTTTTAAAACACTTTAGTGATATTTATATAGCTGAACCAACAATGTTTAATTATTGCAAGTATTTGCACTGAGCATAGGTCTATATCTGCAATATACTTATATTTGACTTGTAAGGGTAGTAATGTTTTTGAAATATCTCTTTTTCTTACTCTTTGTCTTTATTGAAAGAAAAATGTCTAACATTATTTATGCAGTTGTGATTTACCCTTTTGCATAGATTGAGGATCATTTTACATTAGATATTAGTTAAAGTAACTTTGCACTAAAATATTAAAAAATGTAAACTCTTCCCCCCATGAATAAAATATTTGTTACTTAATTGGCACATGATATTATAATACATAGATTCAATCAGTATGAAATGCTGTTTTTCTTTGAAGTTATTTACGGATGCTATTAAATTGTTTCTTTGTTTTAAAATTCCCCAGCGTACGCTGCAGTAATTTTCTATATTGTGCTTTAATTATATAATAAAATATTATAAAATATATATTTCTTTCTTCTCTTCCCTCCCACTCGTCTGCGCTTGGATTGTTCTCCCCCCATATTTTATTTTTTGCCATTTCTCTTAACCTAT